ACTTGGGGTAAAATGGACATCACTTCTCACTATTATAATTAATGTAGTTACCATGTTCTGAGCATCACATCCTTTGTTTTTCCAACAAATATAATCTATCTAGGTGATTGAATAAAAATATCTGGACATTATATATTTTTTAAAAATTGCCTCAAGATTTAATTTTTGTTAAAAATCTAATAAAATGAAAACTGGACATTTTTCATACTTAGTTTATGATTTATGTCATTTTCACTGCAAACAAAGATAACTATTCTAGACATTTAATTTCTGATTCACAGAAAAAAAAACGTTTTTTACGATGAAATGTAGGGAGTAAAAAGTACGATCTTACGCTTTGTAATGTAGTGAAGTAAAATGTAAAAGTTACTCAAAATAAAACTACTCCAGTAAAGTACAGATACTTGAAAAATTTTCTTAAGTACAGTAACGAAGTAAAAATACTTTACTGTCCACCACTGATTAAAAGCACGCAAACTTGAAATGTGCAGGATTACAGTGTTGCAGTAAAGTGGCATAGATTGCATTTTTTTTATGTTTTATGATATGTTTTTTAAAAAGACGCTGCAGAGCCTGACATCATATTAAGACCATTGCTGTGACTGTAGATATTTTGCGTGCTCAAAGTGTAGAGTGACCGCAGCTTTACCCCTGAACTGCGACGACTGACTTAACCGTGATTGCAACGTTCGGAGTGTTGTTGCTGTGAACAAGAAATAAACGCTTATACAAATAAATAAAACAGTTTACCCGTTTAATGAACGCTTTTAACTAAAATCGTATTAGCGGCGCATTGTGCAGTGCACGGTAACCACAGCTGACAGAGCCGCTGTGTTTCGTTAATACGCTTAATAAACGATGCTCCGGGTTTTAAACAACGCGCTCTGTTTAAATGGTATGTATGGGTTTCAACAGGAATGGCTGGTGGAAGAAACTACAGCGGAAAAAGAGAAAGTATCGCGACTTGTGAATGAGGAAAGACACGTACCTCTGTCTGTGTGATTTGCTATAAGAATCCAGACAGCCAAAATGACTAAAATTAATCTGTTCCACATCGCTGCATGTCAGTTTATTTGCGCCGGCAAATATCAAACAAAGCCATCTACTGGATCACGCAGAGGCGATTTATGGCGGTAGTTGCACCACCTAGTGGTTGTAGCTTAGTTTCAGCTAGTTTTTATTAAAGAAAGGCATTGTTTTTATCCCATATTTTTCTTTATTTTTCTATTTTGCACCTGAGACAAGCCATGTGTCCGAATGCCTACTTTCCTATTATACCGTATGCGTAAAACCACAGAAGGGTAGTATGTCCAGATTCATAGTATTCATAAACCAGGCAGAAAGTACCTGGATGGCTTACTACAAAAGCGAAATTCTTAAGTGTGCATCTGATGGACACTTTATCATCGCATGAGACCACAGAAGAGGATTAGTGAATGGCAGTGAAGTGATGCAACTGATGCTGGTAGCTAACGTGACAATGACAACCTGACAGATGCAGTATGCACAAAGCTGTCAACATCCAAGAGAGTGATGACATTGCAGGAATAACTAATTTTTTTCAGGTTTCCTACACATTATCCGACTACACTACTTGACCGAATGTCTGTGGACACCCCGTTTTAATAAATATGTTTGGCTAGGCCTTTTAAGTGAGGTCGAAATAAAAATGCTGTGAACAAGACCCAACCCAATCTCACGGTAAAACATAATTATTTTATGAGGTGGCGATTTCATATGAACTTGTACGATGGGATTAACCAATAATTTTCCAAAACGTAAAATAGTTACAAATTGTCATGAGACTGTGTTGGCCCGATCCCACCACGCACTGATGCTCTCATGTCTGAATGGGAGCAAACCCTCATGATCAATACCTAATGGAAAGTCTTCCCAGAAGAGTGGAAGCTTATGAAGGACCAACTCACTATTAATGCACATGGTTTTAAAATTAAATGCATTTATGTATTGTATTGGTGTGCTATTCATATACATTTGGCCATATAGTGTAGTTAAACCGATCAAGCCTTTAATCCCACAGTGATTCAACTTCATCATTCATATAACAAAAAGGGTCTGCAGCAAGAGCTGAGACCTACTTCTAATTTAATCTTTTAAATCACAAACTTATGATTCAAAAAAAATTTCCCCTAGTCCACACTAAACTGACATGGGAAATAAGATGGTGCTAAGAAATCATGTTGCCATGGCAATGGAAATGAAGACATCAAATATTGATTAAATGCAACAGGAAACGGGGCTTCCTAGAGTTGGGCATATGTCTCATTTTGATAGTGTGATTGTTTGATTTTATAGTTAGCACTTGAACAAATGAAGTAGCTGCAACCCACCTACAGCCATCTACCATGTTGCGTTTTAACCTGTAAGTGCAAAATAAGAAAATATATTATTTTCATGTATTTATTTATTATATGCCTGACTTGCAGCTTCAGGAAAACAGTAAGTAACGGCTGTATATGAAGCATCAAAATATAAAGACAAAAATGACTGAGTGCAACGCAACAGTGAAAGTAGGGTGTAAAGCAGTGTGCAACTGTGTACATAATGTCTGAATTACATCCTACATAGCTGTATAGCTGAATCCCTGTTTTCATTATGAAACTGCAATTACTGAAAGAGTGAAACAGGACGTAAAGGTTAAAGATCTGGGCTGTGCGCCTAAAAGTTGATGGTTCCAAATATGGTGAGGAAATTACAGTGGGGAGTTACAGGGATAGCAACAATTGACTGACAAATGATGAATCTCAATAATTTTTTGTGAATCCTAAGGAACATATTCACATCCAAGGTTTTGTTTTCTTTAAAGAGCACAAACTGATCTGAGAAATGAAGCCCCATGGCAGACATACATGCTGTGCAGAGCGATTGAGGTGCCACTCAATATGAATGCATCTCATTTACCCATTTTTTAGTTGTGAAATACAGTTGCAAGATGAAGTATGTGAACCCTTTGTCATAAAATGTTATTTTATCTTCAGCTTAGCCACGGTTTGCTCAAATCAATAACAAACAAACAACTATACATTTTAATGTATTTATTGTGTATACATTCTAGTGTAGAGTGGAAAAAGAATGTGAAACACTAGGTTTGGGGCTGCTTTGTTATCATTGACAAAATTAATGAATTAATTCCCAGTTTATCAGGACATTTAGCAGGAGAATGTAAGCCCATCTGTCCTCCATTTGAAACTCAAGAGAACTTGGGTGATGCAACAGCACAACGACCCAAAGCACAGGAGCAAATCAATAGCAGAATGACTTCAACAGAAGAAAATACTCCTACTGATGTGCCTCAGCTGGAGTCCTGACCTCAATCCGAGTGAGATGTTTTGGAATGACCTCAAGAGAGCCACCAGACATCTCAAGAATATTGCTGACCTGAAAAGTTTTGTGAAGAGGAAAGGTGCAGAATTCCTCCCGACTGTTCTGATCCGCAATTGAAAATGTTTGTGGAGGTAATTGTCACCAAAGTTCAAACTGTTATTAAATCTACCCTGCACTGCGAAAGTGTACAGTGTGTTCAATAAATAAATAAATTAAAAAGCCATAAAATGACTTTTTTATAGGTTATTTTTTAACCTGACTATGTTTGTCTGTTGTGACCCAGATCAGACCAAATTTATGCAGAAAACCAAGGCTTCGCTTGCTTTTTCCTGCAACTTAAATCAACATGATCAGCTTGCTATAGATATATATATATATATATATATATATATATATATATATATATAATCGGGATCTCTCAAAATAACATGCTGCAGGAATGTTTAATCATAAACACAGTGCTTTACAGCCATAGCAAGCCATATAAGTGCATTTTAATAACTGCTCTTTAATAAGTATGCAGAAGAGAAAAAAAGATTTCCCATATAGGCTGTTTAAATGTCCATAGCACTAGCTGGCATTTAATTTCAGTCCATCAGAATATGGTCCCACCAGTAAATAAATATGCAAGTAGATGAACAGCCAGTCAATGCAGCACGTAAACAAACAATCACAATATCAAGTTAAAGTTCACAGGAATAAGCATTGGGTGTACAATATTTCTATATTCCACTGACACTTTAAATAAATAAATAAATAAATAAATAAATATAATTTGGAGTAAATAGTCTTTTTTCACATTCAGTGGTCTGTTATGTAAACCCATGACAGTGCTGGCTCTTTGTTGTCTGTCTCACTGAGAAGAATCCGTTATGTAGTAACAAAGCAAGATACAGAGCGAAGCAGAAAACATTCAAGAAATATTCGAGGTGATACTGACTGACTTCTTCAACAATGCAAAGCCTCGAACGTGATTAACTTCATTTTATGCACATATATTATAGAACACTACAGCAACTGTTTTGCGATATGTTTTCATTTCTTTACAAGTATTTTTAAGGTTCAATCTGTGCTACCAAACATACATGAATATAAAATATTGTTTGCTTATTGTACAGTCAAACCAGGAAAAATATCAACTTTTAATCAGGCTTTAAAAGTCTTTGTAGTTGCAGGTTCAGTGTCATAACTGTATATAGTTATATAATATTTAGTACAGTCCAACACTTGGCAATACCACAAAAAGGACTGATACACTTAATCCATAGGTTCAGATGTATGTTTAAGGCCATGAAATTCTACAGTCTTAAATTTCAAGAAAAACATTGATTGTTGTAAAGAGAGACATGAAAAGCATCTGCACAAGGCTGCAACACTGAACGACAAAGTGTAATAATTATCAGTTAAGAACAAAATCGTAGACAATAACATCCAAATCCAGTTAAGACACTGTAAAGTGAGCCCCTTTGTCCCTAAAAGGGCGTGTCATTTAGCTTGACTCCGCCCTCACTCCTAGCCCAACCCTTTCCCCCGCCCACCTGGCGGAGGTGACTGTGGTGCTAGAGTGTTGTAATCTGAGTCAACTCAGAGTTTGAGTTTTCTGTCCCTGAATTGGGTCGAGGCTCAGGGCTGACCAGGGGCAGCTCCACTCCTAGTCATGCGGGGTTACTGTTCCCGTCTGCAGTCTTGAAGTTGTAGGCCACCTCGCGTGCAATGTTGCGCATGCGGCCTGACTGCTGCGCATCAAGGCCAAACGGTGAAGGGTGGCAGAACTCACGGAAGCAGCGCTTGAAGTTTTCGTCGAGGAACGCGTAGAGGACGGGGTTCAGGCTGCTGTTGACATAACCCAGGGCGATGCAGAAGTGCATGAACACCACCGTCTGGACGCTGCCTAGGTTGAAGCCCAGCGACTGTGCCAAAGCCATGATCTGGATGGGCGTCCAACACACAACAAAGACCGCAACTACCACCAGAACCATGCGCGTGATGCGCCGAAGGTTGCGATCTTTCTCCTTGGACCCTGAGAGGATTCGGACACTGCGGAGGCGCTTCACCATGAGGCTGTAGCACACGCTGATGATCGCCACAGGAACGAGAAAGGAGAGTGAATTGAGGTAGCAAACAGGATGCAAAATTGTAATTTGAGTTTGAATGCAAACAAGTAGAATTATATTGAAATTTAATGAAAGTCGTACAACTGTAATGTAACTATAGAAAAACAATGTTTGACAAGAAAACTCTGAATGCTGGCTTGGTTGCAAAGAGATATAAAGACTTGAAAACTAAATGTTTTGAACAGACAGACAGATTTGAACTGCTATTCAGTAACTTCCGCTTCCTGTCATTTCAATTCAAATTCCAAGTCAGATGTGTGTTATGGCTAATGCAAATTCACACTTTGAATTTAAATTTAAATGAAAAAGAAAGAAAGAAAGAAAAAAAAAGAAAAAAAAAGAAAGAAAATATCTAGAACATCTCAATGTTTTTCATCTAAAATTGATAAGTTAATAGTGCCCCTCAACAATATTGAATTCTTTACGGTTTCAACATGCCCTTTTCAGAAAATGATGTTTTTCACAGTCAGTCATTTTCTCCTTGCCACTCCTCTTGACATTTTTGACAGCCTACCTCTGAGAGCATTAAAAGTCTCTCCATTCCTGAGACGTGTGAATTCGGACTTACTGTGAGCTGCATTCTCACTCCCATGAAACAGCTGTCAATTATTAATGCAAAGAGGTGGTCTTTTACCCATCTTGGCTGAAAAGCATTAGGGTTCTCGATGTTACCAAGAACATCTGTGAACATTACCAAGAACATTTTTGAACTGTGGAATAATACCTGGTCTAACTTATTTTGGCCTTGAACTGCCCACTTAGACAAGAAGAAAACACCTGACCAACATGTAAAGTGACCAACCTTAGTTTGTTTGTTTTTTAAGTGATGTTTAGGGTGGATAAATCTAGATTAGATCATACCACAATAATCGAGCAACACAGAAAATAAAACTCTTCAAATAGGAGTTTCCATGAACAGCCTTACAAAAAACGGAGACCTTTAAACCTATTTAAAAAGGCTTTTTATATTTTCTTAAAGAAGAATTAAGGCCTTGAAGCTTCAATCCTACTTTATTTAATTTATTTTTGTTTATTTATTTATTTTTCTTCTGACCTGGCCCACACACTCATATTTCAAAAGCACAATGTTCTGTAATGTAAGATTTTTCTTGCAGCTAATAATGTGCACTAAACACAAAATGATAAAAATTAAAATCCTTTACTAGCATTTCTAAAGGCAACCTTCAACTAGGTATGATCAATGTCTTTACAGGCCTTCTATTTTCTAAATGATACGAAATGTTGCAAATGTATATATCAGTGTACATTTATATAACATTTTAGGGGTATAATGCATCACGAAAATCATAGATCGAATCATTTGTCGGATCAGCTAAAAGGTTTTTCAGGTAGGTCAAACAGTAGTATTCAGGTAAAAAAATTCAATAATCAAATCTTAACATAGCTTATATAGATTCATTATTGTTAAAGTTACAAAAGTTATTCGGTCAAGAGCAGTGAGTATTTTGCTGTTTGATTAACATTAAGGACAGAGACAGCAGCATGTTTATTAGGCCGCTGTCACTTTAAAACCTCATGCACGGATCCAGTATGTTACACATGTAAGACATAACTGATTGTGTTTACGTGAATGCTGATTGAGATTTTGAGAATTGTGTTTGTATGTGTCTATTGAAGCACAAGAAAGCACAAAAGAGAACTCAATTCTGTTTTTGCACGAGTACCAAATTGAGTTATCATTCGCGCCTTATTGTGTTATTATTTAAGTATACATTCTGTAAGTCATACTTTTGTAAGGTTGGTCTGGACCACCCTTAGCTATACCTTATCACTGTTGACAGTTCACAGATTATTACATCTCTGTCTATACGAATTCTGAAGTTGTAATACACCCTGTGTTCAATTAGACTAACTGAAGTGTTTTCATGCAAATAATAAAACTGTCATTAGACTGATGGTTGTAAGCGTTTTTATTATATTTTCCAAAGGTACATCAGCTAGCAAACCATTAGGCAGTAAGGATTAGGAGTCTATTTAAAGGGAATGATTGTGGTGGGGAAGTTTGGTCAAACTATGGCAGCGATACAGTGAATGGTTGTGCTAAATCAAAGATGGCGCCATCAGTGGAGCCAGTTATTGTATGTGCACTAAAACTTTAGTCTCCTGGCTACCATGTCAGAAGCTGCAATTCTAATAATAATAATAATAATAATAATAATTAGCCTGCCATGGCAGCAAATTCAGCAGCTTTTAGTTCTTGTTGGTCCGATTTTGTTGAGACAAACTCGACGGAGCTACTGTACCCCCTCCAGCCCCGAAATTCAGCTGCTCTCTTCTTTCTCTCTTTTTTTCTCCATCATAGTAGCTGTCGATTATATGTTTTGCGTGTTGCGCTTTTATTGAGTAAGTCATCCAATAACAGAAATTAGTGATTTACAACAATAATGTGATGTGGCTGCTGGACAATCAACCCTGTTTGTGGAGTAAATGTATATAAATGACCCTTTCAAAGGTCAGTGAAGGCACACTGTCAGTTAGTGATACACATGATGCATTTGGACATAAGGTTACAGGTTCGGTTCACACACTCATTTCGATATTATATCAAATATCCAGGGTTGGATTTAGTTTGCAATTTGGATTATAAATGCAATTTCAACTATTTCTGAAGTGCTTCTTGTTGGAAAGCACTCTTACCAGATTTTTTTTTTCTGTTTTTATTTTCTATTTATTTATTTTTCTTTTGTTAAAAACTGTTAAATTATTAAATTGATAAGGTATAGCTAAGAGTGGTCCAGACCAACCTTACGAAAGTATGACTTACAGAAGTTATAGCCTACTTAAATAAGAACATTTCGTGAAACACGTATTAACGATAAGGTAGCTTAAGGTATAAATTAAGAACGACATAGCATTAAGAAGGTTTTGGGAAACGCAGCCCAGACCATTATCGCCCGCTCCCTTGATTTTTGTGTCCAGTGCTCCCGCTAACATTCTAATATTGCATATAATTTTGTGCATCAGGGAGCCGGTGTCCTGACATTTTATCCTACCCGTCAGATTGTCCTACGCACATCAATATTGCGTCCTTTTTCTCATGCTGAACAACAATTTTTAATGTATCTGCATTACTGTAAGGGTGGGTTTAGAGTTGGGGTAGGTGTAAACTTTAATAAAACACAATCTAATAGGTAGAAAAAATTATTTGTTGGTTTCCTGTAGCTGTATCCCTTCTACAACCACGCCATCAATATGCAGAGTATTTAAATCTCTTTTGAATGAGTGCTCGCTGTTCACTTTCACTTTCGATTTCACGATCACGCGCACTCTGTGTAAAGGAAGATCAGATATTTGTCAATGAGCTCAGGATCTGTTGAGCAGCAAATCCTCCAACATTATCTTGTCAGTCATTTCTCCTCTCAATCCGTGATCAGTGAAATCTGACTCCTGCAGCTCGTGTTGGATGTATAGGGTCAAGTAAAAAAAATTTTTCATGGAATTGGGGTACTTTTAAACTGTTGCGGTTAAAGGTTTGAAATGTTGCATAAATTACATTTGACTGAAATGCTTGTATTGAAACATTTTGCATTTTACCTATGATAAAACTGTGCTGTTAAGTTTTGTGAAGGAGTGCCACTGGTAGGAAGCTTTTGTTACATCCCTATAACATTTAGTTTGAAATCTATAAATTTTTACATTTCTGGTATAACAACTGTACAACAGTATATTATTAACCTATTTGTTATGATGACATTGTTTGAATATTTATCTGCACCCCACAATGTAGTCATACTGTATATCTCATATATTTTGCTAAGCGACAGTCTATGAGTAGATTTTCATCATACTGGTCTAAAGTTGCTCCCTATCACATCTGCACACAAGTGGCAATCTGCAATCGCTGCAGAGAACAGATTCTTCCATACAAACTTTTTTTTTTTATCCACTAAAGTCTATCATATTGCAGGATCATTTCTAAGGCATTTCAGAATTGCTTTGTATTCTTTTCATCCAAAACCAGTCACTCAAATCACATCAGTAAAATAGCAGGATTTTGACAAGCACATATCTCCATGTGTCTTCAAAGACTGGTGGAAACAGACTGGAAAAATATTTTTTGCAACCGGTTGGCATTAGTTATGTCCAAATAATAGAATTACATGTAAACCATGCAACTGTTACTGCAGTGTTTCTGTATTTATATGGTCTCACCAACATGGAATATGTAATTCAAATTCATCATTTGCCATGTTGTGACTAAGCAACTTCCGCAGAATCAAGCGCTTCCACAGTGATTTCCAAATCATTGTTGCAGATCCAGTTGTTTGTTTGAAGACTATTTTGAGATGGAACAGCTTTGCTGAGAACTTAAACACAAATTTAACAACTACACTGCTGGACATTTGTTTACAGACATTCGGCCACATCCCTGAATCTCTGTCATCCTCCCTCCCTCTGGTTCTGTCTGTCTTTCCCTGCAGTGTCAAAGGCAGCAGAACGCAACTTGCATGAAGTGATGAATAAATAAATATGTTGCAGCCTGGCAGTAGAGGAGAGGAGAGAGAGTGTTATGGAAAAAAAGCTGTCTGAACATTCTGCTGGGAGGAACACTGATCATCTGAGTACTGCGTGTCCAAAGAGTTTTAGTTATTTTCATCAAACTCTATATACAGTAAAGCACACTAGTGTTGATAGAACCTATTTAGAGGGGTTTCTGCTACCTGTCTTTCATCTCAGCCCCCCAGGGATCTGCGATTAATTCAGTCGTCAACACCCTTAAAAATCTGTGATTATGTGATCTCCCCTCACGCTTGGTGAACAAAGGTGCAGTAAGCTATCGGAGCAAGTAAACGGTGCATTAAGCTACACTTTTCATCACTCTGCCACTGTCTAGAAGAAAACATAATACCTAAATTAACTTTTTTTAGTGTCATCCAAACAACAACAACAACAAAAAGGTGAAACAAGACAATGCTGAAAATGCTGTTCTTTAGAACTTTCTTTTCATTAAAGAATACAAAAAATGTATGATTTCCACAAAAAATATTAACTGTTTTTTTAACATAGATAATAAGAAGAAATGTTTCTTGATCAGCAAATGAGCATATTAGAATGATTTCTGAAGGATCATATGACACTGAAGACTGCAATAGCTGTTGAAAATTCATACACTTTTTTTATTGTAATAATATCGGTAATACTTTGTTTTGATAGTCCACTTTAGTCATTCTGCTTACTATAAGTAACTTTGCTACTACATGTCAACTACCAGTACAAGTAGACTGCTTAACATATGCTAATCATTTTAATGGTTCCCAGGTAGACATTTTTAATGTATACTATATAAAGCAACTCTTGCCATGTAAAATTACCCTCTAATTTATCTGCATGTAAATACTGTGTTCTATTTCTAAAGTGCTGGTTTAGTGGGGATTATTTCACTGAGAGGGAACTAGAGATCAGAGAAGGTTTTTCAACAATACAGCTAAATGTGCTTATCCACTATTATTCAGGATCTATTAGGTTCATGTATAATGGATTATGAAAGAGAAGAGGGTGTTGAAAAGATGTCGCAGAGGGCAAAGCAGAGATTCAGGACATATACACAAACACACAATTAGAAATGAGCAGACAAAAATAGAACGAGTTAACAGGTCACAAAATATGTGAAGTCTACAGATCATTAAATAATTTTTCCAATAAGACATTATTTTCTTGACATTACTTTTTTTTTTTTTGTAAATCATGGTAGTATTTTTTTGTACTGCCATTAATTCATGCTGATTAATTTCAAATATAGTGTATTATAATAAAGAGAGCCTAATCAGAAAGATGGAAATAATACATAGTAATAATAATAATAATAATCTCAAATGTGAAACATAGTAATGAGAATTTGTGGATGAAAATAATGTCATAAAATGTCACAATTAAAAAAAGATGACCTGTATTCACTCTTACACACTCAAAATGCATTGCACACTGTCACATTGGTTATTGGGTTTTGTTTTGTGTTCAGGTTTTCATGTCTTATTTTGTAGTTTTAGTTATGGTAATGTTTCCTGGTTTGTTATGTGATTCCCTTGCCCTCAAGTATCTTGCCATGTGCTCCCTTAGTCAATGTGTCATGTTGTGATTGGTTGTTTAGTCATGTGGCCTGCGTTCTCATTAGGTCTTTATCAGTGGCGGCTAGCGCTAAAACAATTTTAATAACCATTTAAAAAGTGACATAATAATGTATAATTACTGCTTAGCTAAAAAGTGGAAGTTGAAAATTCAACTGTTAAAGCATGAAATAAGATCCCACGAATCAGTGAATTTTAGTTTAATGTGGGTGTATTGTTAGTAAAGTAATCATTAAACGTGTAATTATTAAAAAAAATATCAGCCATTTATATTAATGTGATTTAGAGATGAGGCCATAATACTAATGTTGTCCACACGAGGGAGCCACAGGATATCAAATCCTTTAAGATCTCAGTTTAAAGAATGTGAAAATTGTTCAATAAATTTACTTGTAGTAAAACAAATTGCATATGAATTCATTATATTTTCATAAAGTTTAATAAAGCCCAGTATAATAAGTATGCAAAAACTGTAATCTCCTAAATATTTATAGACCATTATTTTTTATCTTAATTTTGTCAGAGATGTTAAAGTTGTCAGACATGACTGAATGTATGTCCAACTTATCTATTTTAATATTGTGCATACAATAATACTCCAATAAAGACTCATATTTTACTTGAAAAGAGAGATGTCCATTGGATATCATCTACACAAACCATTGTGCTTGGACCGCGGTGATCGCCTCAAGTTAAACTGCATTGTTTCAGTTTCCTTCTGTGTCGATGTCCACAATGCTTCAGTGATAGGACTTTGAAATAAAAAACAGGGAAAACAATAAAAGGCATGACTTACATCGCATCCAGCTACCCAACTCCATCCAAGCTCCATGATCTGTGTTTTTTTTCTTCATTTAAATGTCTTGTGAAATGAATTTTTGTAAAGATAAAATCAAATTTACTTTCATCTCGGAAGAGATATCTAATCACATAAGGCCAAAATAAATAAAAACAATACTGATTCGCTAAAATCAAAAGTGGGAGGGTCTGGGGCGCAGTGCTCTGCACCCTGAGGACAATCTGAAACAAGCCAATTAGAGCTCAGCCTCAAGTCACATGCTTTTCAAAAGTTTACGGACCTAATAGACACCCATTTGTCCAGCGACCCGCACACACACAACAAACAAAATAGAGTTTAGATTTATTTATTTTTTAATAGGTGCTAACATGACTACCAGTCAAATAGTATGACTAAATAATGCATTTTTTGTGATTATTTTGCAATATATATTTAACTTATTTTTAACATGGTGAAGCAGGATTCTTCCATGGCTAAGTTGAGGGGGGGCGGCGCCCCAGCGCCCCCTATTGACCAGTCAGCCACCACTGGTCTTTATCTTGATTGTCACAGGGGTTCCTTTTTAGTCATTTAGTCTTGTGTATAAATAGCCCTAATGTTGCCATTGTCTTTTGTCTAGCTTTGTTCCTGTACTACTGTAGGTGAGTTAATATTCATATCAAGTTGTCAAGTCGTCAAGTCAAGTCAAGTTAGGTCTTTGTTTGTTTCATGGATTATGTTTGTTTTGTATCTCGCTTACATTTCTGTTAAATAAATACTGCACTTGGATTCAATTCAGCTTGCCTCAGTAGACCTTCATTACAGAAAGCTAGACCGTTACAATGGACCCAGCAGTTTCTTAGCCTTGCCTTTATCAAGGTAATCGTTGTATAGAGGATTATGTGGCGGACTTTTGTGGACTGTGCCATTTGGTGAATTGTAATGACGTGGCTCTTAAGGACATTATTTGTTATGGGTTAAATGAGCTCATTCATTCATGGATGCCAGGAGGAATTTTTTTTTTCCTGGCTCAATATATGAACTATGCCTTGTTGTTGAGTGGCTCCTCATTTACTGTGGGAGAAGCAAATGAGGAACACTGCAATCCCGCTGTTCACGTCATGCCTGTCAAGCCAAAGCCTCTTCATGTCAAGGCCGCCAAGCATGAGTCTACGGCCAAGATGTCCACCACGCCTGAGGATTGTCACGCCATGGCCACCATGCCAGAGTCCTGTTACGCCACAGCCCCCATGCAAGTTTGCTCTAAGGATTTTTTGGGGAGGGACTATAGGACACATGCTCCGGTGGATGCTGAGCTTGGGCCAAGACGGATAAGACTAATGGCCAGTGTTATGCATCCACCAGTGATGTCAGTGTGAGTGGCTGCATGGCATCCTGGTGACCTCAACACTTTCAAACCCAATGGCCTCAGTGCTGTCCAGCCTAGAGGTCCTCCCTCCATCAGCTGTACTGCCCATGATGGTGGTTGCCATTTTGTGTGTTTGGGCTGCACACTGCGCTCCAGTCCATGAATCTGTTTCAGAGCCTACTCTAGCCCCAGAGCTCAGTCCTGTGTTGGCACCAGCCTTTCAGTTTCCTGCCTGTCCTGTTTTGAATACAGTGGTCATACGTAAACCCTCAGCCAGTCATGTCACAGACAAAGAGGCCATCTCCGAACTCATAGTCTGCCTTGTCATGGCCAAGGGAGACTTCCCTGAACTCTCAGCCTGTACGGTCAAGGCCAAGGAGTCTGTTCCTGAATTCACAGTCTGCCCTATCACGGCCAAAGAGGCCATCTCTGAGCTCTCAGCGTGTCCTGTCACTGCCAAGGAGGCCGTCCCTGAACTCACAGTCAGCCCAATATTTTTGCCAATGAGGCCGTTCAAGGATTTTCTGCCTGTCATGTAGCGGCTATGGAGGCCGCTCACAAACTCTCTGCCTGTAATGCTATGACCACTGAGGCCGTTCAAGGATTTTCTGCCTGTCATGTCGCAGCCATGGAGGCCGCTCACAAACTGTCTGCCTGTTCTATCACGGCCAGATGGTCCGTCCACGTCTCTTCTCCGCCATGGCCTCCTGACCTGTGGTGGTCTTCTGCTCCGCAGGCTTCACCTTGGTCACCTGCTCTGGTTGTCATCTGCTCCACCGTGGGGATCCTCGGTCCCGCCTGCTCCACCCTGGTGGTCTTCCGCTCTGCCCTGGTAGTCTTCCGCTCTGCCTTGGTGGTTTTTGGCTCCGCCCTGGCTTCCTAATCTGCTGGCTCCACCCTGGTCTCTGGCTCTTCCCTGTTTCCCTAATCCTTCATGGTTGCTCCACGGTCCAGGCCCGCCTCTGCTCCATGGCCCAGGTCCACCATTGCACCAAGACCCACTGATCCATGACCTAGGGTCTTGCCCTCTACTCAACGATCCATGGTCTCCATTACTGCTCCATGGTCCAGGCCTGTCTCCGCTCCATGGTCCAGGACTGCCACCATGCCATGATCCAGGTCAAGTTCTTCTGTATGGGCCTGGCCTTCCATCCCACCTCTACCACCTCCAGTCCTCCACCCTCCTGGACTCTTTGTTGGTTTTGGGTGGCGTTAGGGTGTCGGGAGCCACCCTTGGGGGGGGGGGGTGATATGTCACGTTGGTTTTTGGGTTTTGTGTTCATGTTTTCATGTCTTATTTTGTACTTTTAGTTATGGTTATGTTTCCTGGTTTGATATGTGATTCCCTTGCCCTCATGTAACTTGCCATGTGCTCCCTTATTCAATGTGTCTTGTTGTGATTGGTTGTTTTAGTAATGTGTCATGTGCTCTCATTGTGTCTTTATCTTGATTGTCACAGGGGTTCCTTTTTAGTAATATAGTCTTGTGTATAAATAGCCCTAATGTTGCCATTGTCTTGTTTAGCTTTGTTCCTGTACTACTGTTGGTGAGTTCATGTTCATGTCAAGTTGTCAAGTCAGGTCTTTGTTTCATGGATTATGTTTGTTTTGTATCTCGCTTACATTTCTGTTCAATAAATACTGCACTTGGGTTCAGTTTGGCTCGCCTCAGTAGACATTCATTACACACACTCACATGCTGAATGCACACATTTATATACTTAGAAGAAAAGTGAGCTCAGCATGATTTTAAACCTGTTCCCTTATAATACAATTAATGTAGCAAGGTATTTACATGCTATTTTCTACTAAAAGGAAACCTCATTCAATTAAGAAATGTTATGATTATCAAGAGCTCAAATCCACAGGGAGGAAAGGTCCTTCTGGGTCACCCGTGGTTCTGCTTTCAGAAAAGTGTGCAAAGCAATACTGTAACCTCAATGGATCCAATAACAGCAACATGATTAACACTGTAATGCTTTGGATGTGCTTAAAGCCTCTTAACAGCACGTGTTTTGTTGACAAACAAACCCCACACACATATACAGTCATATTACGATTCCCCTGTAGGTCTCAGGTGTTGCAATTTGTTATTCGGCATGCTGGTGCATCCTGTGATAGTAAAACGTCAGCTCCCAATTGAATGCTGCATAAATGTTTAATATTCACTGACTGGCCTGTGTTGCTGTGATTATACTCACATTTTCTGTAGTTAAGGGAACCTTTCACATTAAAGTCGACAGGAAATAGCTTTTACAACCTATTTTATTTTCATCATTTGACATACACTACCTTTCAGAAGTTTGGAATAATTATAATTTTTTTTAATATGACAATTTTTAAAGAAGTCTCTATTGTTCACTAAGGCTACATTTATTCGATCAAAAATGCAGTAAAAATTATAATTTTGTGAAATATTATTACAATTTAAAATAACTGTTTTCTATTTGAATATATTTTAAAATGTAAATGTAATGTTTATTCCTGAGATGGTAAAGCTGAATTTTCAAGCATCATTACTCCAGTCTTCAGTGTCACATAATCCTTCAGAAATCATTCTAATATGCTTTTTATTTCACAGTTCAGACTTTTTACCTTGAAATTCTGAAAAAAAAATGCCATAACTGTGAGATATAAACTTAGAATTCTAAGTTTAAATCTCGCAATGCTGACTTTATATCTAGCAGTTCTGATTTTATATCTTGCAATTTTGGCTGATCTAAACTGAAATGCAAGAAAAAAGTATAAATTGTGAGACAAAAAGTCACAACTACCCTTTTTATTTATTTGTTTAGTTTTGTTCTGTTTTGGCAGAAACAAGCTTCCATGCATATGTTATCATTATCAATGTTTAAAACTGTTTTTGTAGCTTAATATTTTTGTGGAAACCATGATACACTACAAAAAAGTTATATATATATATATAATAATACTAATAATAATACTTTTTATTCAGCAAAGTTGCATTAAATGTAACAACATTCAGCTTACTGTTTTTATTGTATTTGTGATCAAATAGATGCAGCCTTGGTGAGCATAAGAGCCTTCTTTTAAATACATTAAAAAAACTGTAACTATTCTAAATTTGACGATGGTGTATTTCCAAAATTGAAATTGAATATTCAATGAAAATTATTACAGCACTTACTTTTGAGAAGGCTTTTTTTAAATTTGGAATAATATGCAGTGATAAATATCAAATAAAATAGTTGCAGTAAATATTAAGTAAAAAAATAAAATAAAATAAATAGGGTCATAACTGTACACACACACTTACCGTTGTCATTTTCCACATCTCCAAGTACCATAGCCGGGACCCCTATGGCTGAAGCCAAGACCCAAACGCAGATATTGACCACCTTGGCCTTGTGGGGCGTCCGCATGTCCAGGGCTTTCACCGGGTGGCACACGGCCACGTATCGATCCATGCTCATCACGGTCAAGGTGAACACACTGGTGAACATGTTATAGTAGTCGATGGAGACGACCGCCTTGCACAGGGCATTGCCAAAGGGCCAGAAACCAAGGAACACATCCGTGCCCTGGAAGGGAAGCGTAGCCAGAACCAGTGCATCGGCCAGTGCCAGGTTAAAGATATAGATGTTGGTTGCCGTCTTCATCTTGGTGTATCTGGGAAAGTGACAGAGAAAGAGACAATAAAAAAAAAAGAGAGTGAAAATATAAATCAGGATGAACATATTTATCCTGACAAAATCCAGTCTGTATTTGTGAGGAAACAGATCAGTTGTCACTCCCCTGGGCCCTTCGCAACAATGGCATTAAAATTACATTTCACATCAAATCCGCTTCACTTTTTAATGGTTTGTCAGCAATCTCTTGTTTTATTTGAAAGCTAGAACCTGTGATCCCCACTGCAAAAGCACCAAGATTCATAAACAATTACAAATGTGAGCAAAGCACTGCCATGACAATGCATGAAAAGCAGGAATTATTAGGTTGGCAGACGTTTTATGCTGTTTGAGAAAGGTTGATAACAGTTGCTGTTCTGTACCAACAATCCCATCATTCAACACAGCTCTACCTCCACGCCACTCAAAAAAAAATGTGGTGAAATGAAAACTGAAAAGCATTGATAAATGATCCCTGTCAACTTAAATTCATATGAGATAATTATAAATAATTTATTCAATGAACACATAACTATGTAACTAAAATATTTGTATAAAAATATACTGTATTTAAATGTATTTTAATGTGTGCTTTGCCAGTATGTATTGTGAAAAGAACTACATGCAAAGTTGAGTTGACTTGATTATTGTAATTACAATAAGAATTAACATTTTTATCAAAAATGAAATTAGTCATTTATTTTGAGAACCAATGTTTTGTGATATGAAGTGATCCTCAGAATATCTGCCCGGTCTAATCTAATGTTTTGTTCCTCTGTAATCCAACTGAAATTTAACAGTAATGACAGGAAAAAGTGGTATTTGTACTGGTTCAGCAGGTGAGGTGTCTGATGCCTGTACTATCTGTACATCTAATAAGCCTGGATTTTGTTTTAAATGCATATATATATATATATATATATATATATATATATATATATACTGTATA